AAGGAGTTTGTTAGACGTGTTGGCGGGCTTGCTGCATGTACGGGGACCCCTAATAAAGTTCGAGTGGGTGTTTTTAGAGCGTGTTGTAAGTGCGAAGGAGTCGTGAAGGCTGCGAGTGATCTACCTATGTATGCGTGAAGGATATATGGGAAAGATTACGTTGATGCGCGTGCGTCAAATGTGCGAGAGTATTTTTTCCGTTTTCTTCCATGGTATACTGTGGCCGCCGGTGCTGCACTTAAGAAAGAGGGGTTTGATGGTGGAGGGCGCGTGTCGGTGTGCGGGGATGAGGAGACTGCGTTTTCATGTAGTGTATCTTTTGTGATATTTGGGAGTATCAGGGAATGGAGGGGTTAAGGTTCTGAACAGTGGGAGGGAGGCGGGATATTAGAATTGAGGCGTTAAGTTATGGACGTGGGAGGCGTCGAGGGCGCCGGTGCAACGTGCAATCACGTATATAATTGCGGATTTTTTGTTTTGTATCCTGGTCAATGAGAAGGAATGGGATTGGGAGGTGCGCAAAAGGTGTTGGCGGGGACCATTTTATAGAACTTGTGTTTATAATCTGGGAAATATATGGAAGTCCTGGGACAGGCTTTTTTTCAGCAGGGTACCGTAGTATGAGTTGAGAGCATTTTAACGTTGTTGAAGGGGGGGGAGTGAATTTCAGGGGATGGAACGGGCTTGTCTCCGGGGGTTGGGTATGCAACAACAGCTGGTTTACTGTGTGTATCTGTGTAATGCGTGGTTGAGGAAAATGTGGTTGTGTGAGTGGATGTGGTGGTGAATTTTATATTTTGTTATAGATGTCTTAAGTCAGAGTCTACTGCCTTCTTTCTTTGTTGAAGTACTTGATGTACCTTTCGGCTATGGCCTGGCAAACGGGTTTTATGTTTTTTGTACTGAGCATTTTATTGTTATATTATATAATGTGTATAGCCTGTAGATGAGTGCGGAATGTTTTATGGCTATTCTATTTTTTGGGGCTGACTCGTAAGACTTGTGGTAGGCGAGTATGGGGTGACTGTAGGGAACTTATGTACTGGGAGTTAGGTGAGTAAGAGTATTACTTTGTTATCATGAGATTGTGATGTAGGTTCTTTCGGTTTTCGATTATTTGTGTTGGATGTGAGTAACCGATTTTTTATATATTTATCATAATATTCTTCTTATTGTATTGTATTGTGCATTGGCAATATGTCCCAGTATATTATGTAATAGTGTATACCCGAAGGGGTTATGGTTTATTTTTAAATTTTTGAACCTGCTAAAAGGGGTCACCTACATGTTATTTCTTGTTGTTGTTCTTGTGTACATAGGGTTAAGATTGCCCATCTTCTTAATGTTATGTTTTGTCACAAGCGATATTTTCTAGTATAATTGTGTAACCTCTTGTGTTTGTTAATATTGTGTTTGTTATTTGCTATTGTACGTTCTGAGAGATTGTTTCAAAATGTGTTTATATACAATGTGTATCAACCCTAGTTTAAGGGGTTTTTATGTTAAGCTATGTATTGTATTTTAAATAAAATAAAAAAAAAAATTACCTCCGGTTCAAGAAGGACCAACGGGCAAATTAAAGGTGGAAAATTGCATTTATCTGAATGTATCATTATATACATAACAGTAAATGAACAAAGATAATTATTATTTATCAGTTAGACAAGTAGGAATTTGGGACACCTAGGTCGCAAAAAGACGTCCCCCTTCGATACCTACCACTGTCATATCCACAAGTTGCTCTGGACCTATTAATTACAAATGAAAAATACATCACCAGGAATGCTGGTAAATATATAAATTTGTGGACTGTATATTAAATTAATAAAGAATTATATATATACACATTTATATAACAGAAGGAGAATATATCTTAATCATAACACTCACCAATTTGACTGGAGATTAATGTGTCATGTACAGGACCCCTCCTTTTGCCTACATTTATGAAAAATTTACTGGCCAGAATTTAAACATAAATTAGACAGCTTATCTGAAGTTCCTGGAGTTGTCCTGTCCTGTCGCCTGATATCTCAAGTTATGCAGGAATGCACATCCAACAATTTCGCCTCCTATTTGAGAGGTGTCAACCCAATTTTTAACCTCTAGAGCACGAAAAATTCTTCCCATTATTCACAACGTCTGTTCAATTCAAACAATAATGGCGACTCCTCTGTGCAGGAGCAGGCTTCCCATTTTCGATAACATAACTTTTATTAAATACAGTATGGCCATCTATTTACAAATGACTACTGTATTTCTGGAAAATATATACAGTATTTTCCACAGGACCAGATCCTGTGAACAGATTACGTATTCAGATATAGAACTTGAGTTGACAGGCTCCTACCTATACTTGGGAATCTACATTGATAAAAAGCTGACCTTTCAGAAACAGGCCGAGTATGTCAGATCCCGTGCTCTACTGACTCAATGCCATGAGAGCCATGACGAGGCACCGTGCAGGGGCGAGCAAAGATGTACTTCGCTTGTACTATATACAAGCTGTGCGCTCGCTCATTGACTACTGTGCAACGGCGTTGGCTCATCTCTTTCCTCAGAGTAGGCAAAAGGTGGAGGTCGTACAAAACCAGGCGATAAGAACTATGCTTGGGGCCCCCATCTGGACCAACACACTATGTTTCAGATTTGAGGCCCGGCTTCCTTCCCTGGCTGATAAAGTAAGATACATAAACGCATGCCAAGTAGCCACAATTCTGCACCGGCAGCAAGGTACCCTACTGAGAAGACGGATATTGGCAACTATGACACAAGATCCAACTCTCTTCACGGACTACTCCTGAATTCGTTCATTTTGTGCTGCTGGGCGGAAGCTGCTGCCTATACAATTACTCCTTGAGAAAAGTTGTGACCTTCCTGTTGCTGGGTATTATCCACCAACTCCCCTGGCGCCCAGATCTGCTGATGTCTGCGTCATGCAACTACCTACCTCTAAGCGTCTCTGCAGTCAAGGCACCCTCAGCAATCATGCTGAGACAAGCATGGCACTGGCAGGGGGACGCACATGTGCAGTGTATTTCACAGATGGTTCTGTCGACCCTGACAGGAAGAGAGCAGCAGTTGGACTGTACCACAATGGTCACACACAAAGCTGGCGACTCCCTGACCACTGCACGATCCTTCAAGCTGAGCTGGTGGCGATTCAGCATTGTCACATGTCCTACGACATACATGTTGACTCCACCTCTGCAATCAATGCCCTCTCCCATCCACCAACCACAGGATAATGATCACACTTCATCACATCGATCCTGAGCATAATGACAGCCTTAGAAGCTCAGGGTAACAGATCGACATTGAACTGGATGCAGCCAAGGCAGCCACAGATTATCCACATGTTGGTATTACTGTCCCCATCAGCCTACGCCAGACCAAACTGGTGGCTGCCAGAGCAATGTAACTTATGGGGGAGGTCCTAGGTGAATACCCCCATCTCAACAGTGGTACCGAACAGCGACTCAGGAAGAACCCCCTCCATATGATAGAAGCTGGTCCAGAGCGCAGTGTACCGCCATCCATCGGCTTCGTTTGGGCTTTCCTACAGCCAAGATGATAGTAGACAAGGCAGAGGAGATTTCCCAGCACTGCCAGCACGTTATCCAGCTCCCCCTAACACACTATCTCCTGGAGTGCCAAGCTACTGAGACACTCCATAGGCAACTAGCACTGATGTCCCCTCCCGAAGAAGACCCAGAGAGGACTGCGGCTACACTAGTGTACCATGGAGTCAACGAACCAGACAAGCTGTTGCCCATGATAACGTTATATCCTCCTCCTCGCTAGTGTCCACAGTTAGGAGTGCATACTGTGGTGTCGCTTATGAGACGCACTAGATGAAATAACCAGAACAGTGCTTGATCAGCATACGTTTGCAACATTTGCAGAAACCTTTCTCCTTCGGAAGCCAGACACGGGTCATCGCAAGATTAAGACCCGTGCCAAGACTCCGGTCTTGGTGAACATTATACATACATACATCAGAAGCTAGATGTTAACACACCTGCAGAGAATCTCCTGAGTCGTTCTGGCACTCGGGCTGTGGCCTGAGTCCCAGGAATGGCTCAATGGAGTTGAAAGAGTCACCGCGCCATTTGTCATAGGGCTGTCCCCGTCACAGGGCTGTAAACGGTACATCACTTGTACCAACTGTGGCACTCCTTCGGGAGTCACAGCCGGGCCATCACATGAAGACCTGGGCCAGGAACCCGTCCTGGCAGGGTTTTTCCACCTCACTCCGTGCATATATATACCCTCTGTGTCTGTGTATTGTTTGTAAACGGCTTGACAAAGCTCCTGGAGAGCGAAAAAGTGTTGCCACAAAAATGTCACATTAGTTGCACTTGTGTCCTTGTACCTAACATACTGTCGGTAATTCTACCAACATTATTACAAGGCTGGTCCTTACCGATACCACCCAGTTGATGATCCTTTCCTGATTTATAACACTGGAAGCCTCTCACCACTATGTCAGGTTTATATCTATGAAATGGACGAAGATCCAAGATGGTTATCACTTGTACGGTATCAGTCAAAAATATCGGTACCAGTCAAAAATATCGGTACCAGTCAAAAATATCTGAACCCCAAAGAATGGGATGAAACAGAACTGTGTATATACACTTAGAGATACACATTACATACCTGTCGGTGTAGATGCCTTGTGTTTTGAAATGTACTCAAATTATTTTTTGTACTGCTGTGAGTTAAGTTCTAGCTTTAATAAGGCGAGTTTTACAAATATTATATTTACATATCTGTAAAATGTAAGTATGAAGCTCTGAACGAGATCAACCAATATAGTACAAATTATGATGTAAATTATATTATACCAGACATTCCAAATATTTGTTCCATTCTCTCTCTCGTTATTAAGTCCCTACCACTCAACAGATGGCGCTTGGAGCATCATAAAGTGTAGGCAACTAACATAATTTGATAGTTCATCGTCACATTGAAAATATGTCTTGTTAACACTGCCAGAGTTTAGGCGGAGAGACAGTCCAGGTGAGTGGCCAGTTAGTGGTCAACTTACGTCTGAAGTCTGACTAAGATTGTCTGGTGTTGTCCGGTAAACTTGTCTTCATAATAATGGTAGGCTGTTTTTTATATACTACTACTCCTGACGTTGAGAGGCTGAAGTGATTGAGGTTTTGATGTTGAAGCAAGTTTGAACTTTAAACTACAATAAATTAAAGAACTTATTTGTCTTGTAGGTGGGGAGGGAGAAATTATTTGCAGCGTTGATTTTTTTTTTTAAGATTGACGTGAATGTTTCTAAATAAAAATTACCTACTTGTTTTTTATTTTTAAGCTTGCTTTCAACTTCATTATTAGGGCTGTATGACCCTCGTGGATTTAGCCCTTAGTTTCTCCTATAATCCATTGCATCGCTCCCTAGTTCTCATTTTAAGCTTCAAACGGAAACCAGCTTATAATGCTAGTGTTTCTTGGTTGACCTTAACTAGCGGCACTATTTTCTACATTCAGTTTCCCAGGCTGTCATGCACACAACAGTAATGTGCCTTAACATTTGTTTTTATTTGGCAGATGAACAAGGCAGTCAGTTTATTGGTGTTGATTATGGCCGTAATGGCTGCCTGGACCAATGCGCACATATGGAAACAAACACTGGCAGAGGCAAACCTAGAACCACAAAATGGAGATAAAATGATCAATGCCTCAAGCGGGAACACCACAGCCGGGAAGACAAAGATGACTGATGTTGCTAACACTACTTCTAACACTACTAAACATGGTGGAAATGAAACAAAGGTGGCTGATCTTCCACGTACTCTTCCCTTTCCTCCAATCCCTTTTTTAAGGTAACATTAATTAAGAACTTTAACTGTTTATGTAAAATCTTAAAATTCCTAAAATTAATTTCTTTTAACTCCTCAGGCGTAATGTGGCCTTCAGTGTGAGAAAAAGCTTACAACCTTCAGGCAGTGTCACGCCTCAGGTTCCAGGTCAGTACTATGTACTATTACACTAAACTTACCATGAAATTTAATTATTACCCCGAAATGTGCTCTAAATGCCACAACTTTTATGTAGTTGATGCGGTGTAATGTCTCTTAAAGTTTACTCCTTTATCCTAAAAATTTTGAACAACACTTCGGGTTTCACCAATTCTTCAGAAATTTTATGCCATCTTTAACCCTTAACTGTCCAAGCAGATTCCCGTTCACATGCGTAGTGCTCCAACAGTAGATCAGGTTTTTCTTTTAAATAATAAACTTGGATCACTATTTTAGGTTTTTCAAATGTAAAAAAACTAGTTTTACATACTTTCAAATGTTGAGGAAAACTTTCTAAGTTTGGACAGTTTTAAAGGTTTAGTCTTAAGGTAGATTAATTTATATTTTGGTTTGGATAGCTAAAAACTATTTAGCATGAGCAGTCAAGTGCAGCACCAGTGTATGCCCCTCGCGGGTTTAGCGCTTACTTTAAAGTTAAAGTAAAACTAATAATGCTCTCTGGATAACTTAAATTTTAAGGTTTATTAAAAACTTTGCTACTTTCTCGTACCTTTTATATATTTTCACTAAATCTAGTGGTATTCAGTTTTCCACTTTAACCCCTCAAGGGACATCCTTTGACACTGATGAGGGGCTCGTGATCTAAAGTTAAATCTGCTAGTTCCCCGAGGTAAGCCTGAATACCTATCCCCCCCCTCCCCCCACACAGGCGCGCTCTATTAGTAAGGGTTTAACGCTTCTCCTTAATTACAAATTTTTCACTTCCAGGAAGTAGTGAGAAACCCATCGGAGGCGGCGGGAAACCCACGCTGCTGATGAATTTTTTTGCTCAGTACAACGGTGGTTATTACTTCAGCTTCCACCGCAGTTGGTGCCGGGAAAACAGGGACTTCACGTAAGAAATATTTAAAAGCATTTATGCATCCTAAACTTTTTTTTTTCACGTATTACGCACCATGCTCACTCCAGACTTAAGTAAATTAAAACCCCATTGTGAGAATCCTAACCTGCCGCTGCACTCGCAGTATAGTACTTTAAAAGGATGCAAGCTTCAAAAATTCAGATTAAGTTGCTTAGTCTAATGATCCGGGTCCCCATTACTCGTAGTTTTCCCTCATGCTGTGTTTGTAAAGCGGCTATATAGGCGTATCATGAGGGCATAACTTTTTACAAAAGAGCGTTCCTACCTTAATTTACCTTTTCCACAAAGGTATTAGAGGAAGTACCTCGTACAATTGTTTGACTTTCAGTAACTTTTTCATTGATTCACACGGAATAGAATTGTTTCCTGGATGGAAGCGTGGTTGACAGGCAGCAGTTTGCATCATTGGGGAGAAATCGGTGGGTACGCATCACGAATGGCGTTCCACTAGTGTTGGGCCACTTCACAATTTATGTAACTACATTGACGAGGGGAAAAAATAACTAAAGCAAAGTTTGCTGGCGATACCAAAATGTCTCTAAATTCATTGACATTAGAGCACTACAGGAAGATTCGACCACTGATGCAATAGTCGAAGTGGCAGATCCAAATTAATGTAAACCACAAGCTATTTTTAAACCTTACACACGAAAATGACTAGATCTTTTTACTAATTGCAGGAAGAATTAGTTGGCAGTAATCTGAAACATAAGTGCAAAAGTGTTCGCAATTTAGGTAACAGAATTCTTAGCTTCATATAAGAGAATAAGAGCCCTCGGGTTGTTAAACTGTCTAGTTAGGCCTAATTTAGAATGTACTGGTTTTGGTCACCGTATTACCTAACATAAATGCACTGAAAGTACAGTAGAGGATTACAAAGTTTGTCCCATGTCTCGGATGAAGATTTTCAGAGCTGTGAATCTGCACTCCAGAAAGCCCTAGAATTACGTAAGGGGGGGGGGGAGAGATGCGAGCTAAGGTGCATAGCTGGAAAACTAGAATGGAGGGTACGTAAATAGCGTGCTGAAAATACCTAGCAAAGAACAGACTCTAAGAAATTGTTTTAAATTGGAAAAGTTCAAATTCGGGGAGAATATAAGAGCACTCGTTTATTAAGTTGTGGATGATGGGAACTAACTCCGTACTATAATTGGAAATAAGATTAGTTTTAAAAATAGGTTAAATACAATAGTGTTGGACCTGACTAGGCGAGGCATTGGTTGAAGTGAAGAGACTTCAACCTGCCTAGCATGGGCTAGCAGGCTTACTGCAGTGATCCTTGGTTTATTTACACTGGACTAACCTACTTCTGATAAGTGAAACATACCTTCACAAATTTAATGTTGCTCTTGGCTCTTCCTCTAAAGTACATGTGCTCTATTGTTTTTACCTTTTAGTTTTTATACCGGTTATCACGTGGAAAGTATTTTAAAAATTTTAAGTGTCTTTGATAAACTAGGCAAGCATTTTAACATTACCACACAACGTTAACCAGGGTAATTGTTTCGAAACAGAAGAAACTTTAATCTTAATAGATTAAGGACTTTACCTGGAATGCCCTATGCCAGTTCTCCGAGCATTGCTAGGGGAAGTGTAAATATTGCAAACACCTTCGGGGGACTTTAGCTAGAGTTGGTCACTACCACGCTGGCGAGATTAATCTGAACTTTAATTTGTAGTCAGTGGTGCCCATGTTAACTTTCCTGTTTAAAAAATCTAGATGCTTAATCTTTCTGTAGCCAGCTAACCTAGTGGCTAACACGTCGGTCACTTCTGTCTCCGCGAGTTCAGTCCCCACCCGTACCATGCTTTCCCAAAGCACTAGCTTAGTGGTTAATAAGAAGGTAGTTTTGAATCAGACCCGTTCTCCAGGAAAAAGTAGTGCTTACGGAAAGTACTAGAGCAGAGTGGGGAGGGCCCTAGAGTAGTTTACTCAGTTAGAGATAAGAGACGGTGTGGGAGGGGCAGTAGTCCTTTGAAAGGTTGGAGAGAGGAATGAATTGTGCAAGACCGAAGGGAAGGGGGGGGGGGGAGAGCTTGTCATTAAATATTTCATCACTTTCTAAGTGATGGACTGAAACTCCAGGCCGAGACTGATTACCTCAAACTCTGCTTGTACCCTTCCAATTTGTATTGGACTGAAGCTGTGGCGAAAAGTTTCTGAAATAGATTCCCAGAAGTTTGTCTTCAACTTGTCGATTTTAAACCATTTATCAAAAGCCTTCAGATGACTTGACAAGTTGTTGGATAATAATGGAGAAAAGTTCTTTTTGAACTGACGGCTTGAAACTTCCCTTTCAAAGGGAACTGGTGAATAAAACTACGGAAAATAGTAACTTTACTTCCAGTACTCTCAAAGCTTGTTACCTGAAGTCTGCAGCTTGAGGCTGCAGACACTTCAGGTATAATTTTCCCCCCGCATTTAGTGGATTAGTTGTGAAGGATCTGCCAACTATGGGCCAATAGGCCTACTGCAGTGTTCAACCTTAGTACTTTTAAATCTAAAGGAATCTCTGCTGGTACCTGGCCAGACTTGTAAGTCATGAAACTAAATCATAGCTTAGTCATAAGCTTTCCATGCTTAAAGCAGTAGCTGTACTTTGTTGCCTAGCAGTGGCGTTGCTAGGCTTGGTGTCCCACCTGTGAAATCAGCGGGGATATCTGGAGTTTCTGGAGAGAGTTCCGGGGGTCAACGCCCCCGCGGCTCGGTCTGTGACCAGGCCTCCTTAGGTCAGTGTCCCAGGATGCGACCCACACCAGTCGACTAACACCCAGGTACCCATTTTACTGATGGGGAACATAGACAACAGGTGGAAAGAAACACGTCCAATGTTTCTACTTTGGCTGGGAATCGAACCCAGGCCCTCACCGTGTGAAGCGAGAGCGTTAACCACCAGGCCACCAGGGGAGTAAACTCAAATTGCGTCACTACTGCATGCCCAGTGACTAATGCTTCTCGACGAGAACTTTTAGCCTTCATAAACAGAACAGGGGAATATTTAATTTTAAGCAAATCGTAATGAGGAAACACTAATACCACAGTAAATGAAAGATCCTAAATTAAAAAAAAAAAAACTTTCACGCTAGTTGATTTAACCTTTAGTACCGGAAACTTCTCGATCTGGTTTTGAATTGCCTTGCCTTCAACACAACATAAAAAACAAACACTGCAGCGGGCCTGTTGGCCCATACTAGGCAGGTCCTTTAAAATTCGTGCCACTAACTAAACATTTGCCCAACCCAATTTTCAATGCGAAGTCATTAAAAAATCCATGATTTTTTCCCTATAAGCCTATTCGTACTATTCAGCTTGCATTGTTGCAGCACTTTGGGCATTAGTCACTTCTAAAGGCTCTGCCTGGCAACTAGCCCCCCCCCCTCCCCATCCTTACGACGCCACTGTTGACTATTGTATATCTTTCATGTGTCTTTACACCTAAGACTACAGGTAGTGCCATAAACATCTGATTTAAGGGTTGCTTAAGGGTTAACTATTTTTCCTAAAAGCTTTAAGGAAAAATTCGTGAATTTGCACACTGTTCTTAGTCAGTTGGCTGACAAATAAAATGGAGCCTCCCTTTCCCTAGTTGAAACCTGAACTTTTGAGGTTAGTTTCCCCCCATACAGCAGCTTGAAAAAAATAAATGGTGAAAGTTCTGGTTAGTTTCGGCAAATACCTTCAACTGTGGGGCAAACTGGCGCTGAAAAGTTGTGTACTGGAGAAGTCTACCGGTCACTAGTTAATTTGGGGTATAGAAACCTTGCTAAGGTAGTTTGTAAGAGCACAAGAGAAAATGTAGGGGAAAAAAGCAAAGAAATCTAAAAAAATGACTAATGTAAAGTATACAGGAAAACTAAAGTCCCTCAAATTTAAAGAGGATGATGCAGACACGTCAGTACTAAACTGTCAAAGGAAAAGTAC